TGCTCTGACAAACAGCTGCTGAAGCTGAGCCTTGTCAAGAGGACTGCTGCTGACACACATGTCCAGAAGGTCTGGCTTAACTGTTGATTGTACAATGAAGCTGCTGGCTATGCTCATCTATGGAAGTGAGGCATGTGTTAGACTTACTGTCCCATTTGCAGCACTGTGCAGTTCTGGTGTCCTCAACATAAGAAGGACATGGAGCTGTTGGAGCAAGTGCTGAGGAGGTGTCATGAAGATGATCAGGGGACTGGAGCACCTCCCGTATGAAGACAGGCTGAGGAAGTTGGGGCTGTTCAGCCTGGAGAAGAGAAGGCTGCATGAAGACCTCATAGCAGCCTTCCAGTATCTGAAGGGGGCCTACAAGGATGCTGGAGAGGGGCTCTCCATTAGGGGCTGTAACGATAGGACAAGGGGTGACGAGTTTAAAGTTAAACAGTGGAAGTTCAGGTTAGATACGTGGAAGAAGTTCTTTACTGTGAAGGTGGTGAGGCCCTGGAACAGGTTGTCCAAGGAAGTGGTAAATGCCCTATCCCTGGCAGTGTTCAAGGCCAGGTTAGACAGAGCCTTGGGCACCATGGTTTAGTGTGAGGTGTCTCTGCCCATGGCAGGGGGGTTGGAACTGGATGATCTTAAGGTGCTTTCTAACCCAAACCATTCTGTGATTCTGTGATTGTCCTTTGTTATCGTTATGCTGATATCTGCATGGTTAAAGTGCTGGTCCTTAATATGTTTTAAAAGCAACTTGGGCAGATCACTAGTAACTGCTTGTTACATGGACTAGGTGAGCTAAAAGTACGTTAGTCCATTTAATAGCTCTGGTTTAAATTTCTTTTGGTATTGTTTGACCAAACTGTCTAAGATGCAAAAGACTTTGAGACAGTATGTTGTTGACAAGTACAAAATGTGTGTGTTTTTATAAGCTTGTTTGAACCTGTAAGAATGGATGGAGAATTTTCCTTTTTAGATACCTAATGTTAAAAAGAAAAAAAAAACGCTTACATGGGAGTTCCAGAAAAATAATGAATTTTACCACAGAGTTCACTGAGTTCAGAATTTCACACCACGTCTTCATATCCAGCTGTACAGAACTGAACAACCGAACTGGTTTCTGATGGAGTTTTCTTCACTTAAGTATTTAATAATATGGATGCTGCCAGTGAAAATACAAAAAGAAAGGGAAAAATTCTACTTAGCTTTTTGGCTGTTAATTAGAAACATTTTGTTTGGTGGTTTGAAGTGATCCGGTACCTTTCTGTTAATTTGTGGAGTATTCAGAAGGTGTTATGAATTGTCTAGACACTTGAGAAAGGATGTGCCTTGGAGAGCTCGTAAGCTAAGGTGAGACACAAAGATGGCCAGGGGAAGGGGAGAACACTTAGGATTCAGCCAGTATCTGGCTTAACTGGAGCCACAGTGGGGGCACTCCAGCAGAAATGATGTTTTGGTGAGATAACACTGCAGATCATCCACTGCAGTACTGTGGGTGGAGACAACCGTGGCAGAAGCTAGCAAAAGGGCAAGAGGATGGGAGCTTAACCAAGTGTGATAGTCCACTGACTACTGTTACACAAGGTAAAACCCACATACCTGGCAACTAGGTTGTTGGCAAAATGCTAGTAACTCCCCACAGCAGTTTGATGGAAAAAACTTTCCAAGGGCCAGGAAAAAGCCTCCCATAAGAGATACCACTGTTGCGTATCACCAAGAACAAGCATTTGAATAATTATACTGAGGAGTCCGCTAATTTTGTGTGACTTCTCAGTGGGAGCAGTCGCGTTCAGACAAGGCTGCCCAGCTGCTCCTCTGAAGCAAAAAACAAATGATGAAAAATATGATGATAAGGGTGACAGAGGCTACTGCAGAAGCATGATCACATTGACTATATTCTCTCTCAAGTTTAGGACTAGGAATCTGAATCGCACATTCTATGGTTTGTTGCCGTCTCATTCATGAGCAAAGTTACATTTATTCTGAAAACTTTCACAGAGATACTGAATTTGCTAATGAAAAATTAATTGATTTTGTGCTCAAGACCTGTAGCTTTTCTTAAGCTTTTCTTAAGGATCAATCTGCACATTTCAGGCAGAAATGCAGGAAAATTCCATTGTGTGATATAACTTATCCTACAGTTCCAGCCAAAGGCATGGATAGATACATCGCTACTTTTGAATATGGCTCAAACTTTGATTATTTCCATGCATATATGGAAATAGTCATATATGTGCATAATATACATATTTAATTTCCAAATTATAAAGGAATAGCAGCTACAAAATCTGATGGTAGATCCAGTTGCAAAGAGTCTCTGATTTTCTCACTAAGATGGTGTGATTGCTCTTAATGCTCTCTCATGTGAACAAACCGACAGGCAGAAATCTTCCTGAAGTCTAAAACATCTGTCTTGTCTGATAGATGTTGGCTTTGAATAAACTTGTCTGAGATTAGTTGAAACAGAGATACTTCTCCATTTCCTTATTACCCAAAGGACTTGGCCTAGCTGTTTCTGAGATGAAGTTTTCAGAGTGTGTCATATTTCTTGTATCACTTCTGGTTTTAATAAATACCAGAGGTTTTAAGTACCAGAAATGTTAAAGATTTCTAATAGGAGCTGCTTCTTTACATTGACTTGACATTCTAATGAAAACACAACCAGGGTGCAAACCCAAACTGAGTATATGTGGGCCAGAGTGACAGGGTTGTTACTGTTTTCCTACTCTTGGTTATTTACATAAACCTATATTACAGCTGATTTCATCGATAGTTACATTAGCCTTTACTACCTTTAGGATCAGTATCCTTTAGGAAACCCAGTTATCATTGGGTGTGAAAATGGATGCATATGTTAAGAGTGCATGTGTTTAATATTTATTCCATTTAGTGTAGTAGACTTTCTCTTTGAAACTTTAAAAAAGTTTAAGCTGGATGCACTTTATGCCATTTACAGCTAGGAAAACCCTAATCAGAATAAAAATTGATCTCATATTTGCCAGATCAGGACTGCAAAAGATAGAACTGGGCTGCTTTGGTCATCTTAGATTACAGTATTTTTCGTGCTTTGTAAAAAAATATAACCCCAGAACAAGGTAATAATATTTAATAGTTTAAACAGCTTATTACTAATTAGCTGTGATTACAGCTGAAAACCCACAAGGATTACTGAAAGCTTTTTAATAGCCATGAATTTAATAGCAGTTCTAAACACCTTTTTATTTCTACTTCCATCTCTCCATTTCTAGACAGAACAACAAAGTGGAACCCTTGTAAAACAAATAATGTTATCTTCTTTCTTATTATAGCCTGATACTGTAAAGCAGTTCCTATAGCTAAGGTCATGACTTTGGCATTTGAAGTCTTTGTCATCCTGTTAGCATTCAGAGTGCTGACACCCTGCAGTTACCTAAATGAGGTATTTTATTCTTTTTTTTTTCTTTTTTTCTTTTTTATTTTTTCTTCTTTTTTATTTTTTTCTCTCTTCCCCTCTCTCTCTTCCCCTCTCTTCCCCTCTTTCTCTCCAGAAAATGGAGAGATGTGGTAATCTGTGGTATTGTGTGTTTTCTGTTGGAAATGCACAAATACAGCTTGAGCCAAGCAGTGAGGAAGGTGGCTCCTTTAGGTGTAAGGTGGTAGTGCCCAGCCTTCCTGCAGGCAGGACTAGTGCTGCCCGGGCTGCTGGCTGAAGGGAGGAGCCCCACATCTTTAAAGCAGTTTGGGTTGAGCACCAATACAGAATTATTCCTTTAATATCAGTTTTCCAACTAGTTTTAATAAGGATAACAGATAGGGATGTCCTCAGTGCCCCCAGAGGTGTACTTACGGGATTAGACAGCTGTTTCACTACTTTAAGTAGTAAACTGATGCCTACTGCTATGTAAGAATAATGCAGTGAACTCTTAGCACCGTCCATGTCTCAGATTTCCTTTCAAATTCTCTAGCAAGAGACAAAAGGAATTCTGAATTAGCTGTGTGCTCATTTGTGCATGCCACCACTCAAATTGGTGGCTGTGTTTGCTCCCTCTACACTTTTCCTAGGAAGAATTGTGATTGTCCCACCTGCTTCCCACTGTTGAGACATCAGCTTGCCTGCTCAGTCTGTGATAGATCGTCTCCCCATTGTGCACTAAAGCCTTTTTCCTGTAAATCAGGATGAGTTATAAAGCCAAATGCTGACTGCTTAAAATCTTAGATACTGCAAAACCAGTATAATATCAGTTACAAGTTGTTACAAGCTAAACACTGGCAGGCTGTTCTGTCATGCATTTGGTTAGGGTTTTGCCTGAGATTGTGTCCTTTCTAGAAGGACAGCATTGGGACAGAAGGAGCCAGGGAGGAGAGGCTTCCAGCAACTGCAAACTCGTTGCTTACAAGTCACCTCTAACAGGTTGCCTCTCTTCTACGATGTCTGCTTTCCTAGGATCATTTTCCACATGTATTTGTTTAGTCCCTGAAGACAGGCGTTTTCTTTCCCTGGTTTATGTTAGGTTTTTTACTGCAATTCCTTCCACAAATTAGTGCAGTGCTTGCTTTGTGTTTCTGGATGTGTCCCTCCTGTTTTTTGTTTGTTTAGTTTCATTTGTTTTGCAGGTTAGATTTATGCCCTAATAGCATCAGCAGATGAGGTTTGTACTCTAAGCCAGCTTTGTAGGCTACCATCTAGAAACCAGAGTTTGCTTTGCAGTTCTTTTTATCTCCTTGTTCTCCAAGTCTCAGCTTAGTGGTTTGACCTTTTGCATAAGCTATTTTTCATCAGCATTTGCCAAGGTTTTCTTAAACACTTTAGCAGTGCTTCGCAAGCATACAGCACAAACGTTAACTGTTTCATTCTTTGCATTATCTGTGCTCTGCCGACTGATTTTGAGGGGAAATAGATTAGTCTGTAATCTTGAGTCATGAGGTCTGAATGCTGAAAGCTGTAATATATATAAAAAAGACCTTTCAAATTTCACTTTGGTTTTGAAACTTGCAAGGAGGTATTCATATATTTATGTGTTCCTCTGTAGGTCATGTTACATTTGAATCCAATTTCATCAGTGCATATTCACCAAAAGCCTTTGGTGTTTCTTCTCAACTCTCCTTTGCCTCTGGTCTGGAAGCTGAAAACAGAAAGGTTGGCACCTGGAATCCGAAGAGTTTTCTTTGTAAGTACACACAAACCTCTGCCTGCTTTGTATCATAGCTACTGTCGCACAAGACTTGGTTAATGGCATTCATTTGGAAAGTTTTCAAACATACATTAAAAAAAAAAAACAAGTTAAAAGGAGGTCAGGTTTCAGTGTAGGGCTCTGGGGAACAGTTAGGTGCTAGGGCAAAGCAGTTTGGGAAAAGTAACTAATTCCTTGTTAGGTGAATTCAAGGTAAAGACAGCAAACCTGCCTCTTCGGGATGTGCATATCGTGCAATTAGCAGCTGCTCCAGTTCAGAAAGCTGTGAGGTTATAATAGATTGCCAGTCCTGATTAGAAGTTTAATAGTACCATAATGCAAGAAGCCCTAAAGCAATGGGAAATACTATGGGTGGATGCTAGTTGTGTGGTCTGTGACCAAAACAAAAATGTGTATGCATTGAGCTCAATATGTACAATTATGGTTTACTCCTCTAATGGAGCTTTTTTTGACTGAGCTAAGCCCAGAGTGAAGTCATTTTTATTTCTCAGAAAGACTGGAGCACTGCTTATAATGTAGGATCCAAATATTACCTAGTATTTGTAAATCATGTCCTTACAGTTTGCCAGGACATTCAAGTTTTCTATTTGTAGTGAAACAGACAATTTGTTTGGATGAAATTTTTAATGTGTGACATCATGTCTAATCACGAGTTGTCTTTATCAAAGTTGCAGCTTTTACTGTATTCAATTCTAATTGCAGAACTAACCTTGATTATTTTTAGTTATATCCTTATAGGGTTTAATTTTGCTCCTCCAGCACAGCTGACAGTGGTAGGCAAAACTGTTTCTGCAGTACCAGATAGGAACTTGATGGTGTCACTTATTTATCACCAGCAGGGGAAGATGAACAGTACTGCAGCATTAGTGCACTGGAAAGGGACAATGCTCTCTCAGTTGACCTGCTATAGTGGTGACACCATTAAGTGCATCAGGAGTCTTACCACTTGCTGGACACCTAAAGTTTTCTGCGTTTATTTTTTTCCTGTCATCAGGGTATATGAGTAGAAGTATCCTTGATATTTTGAACTCTGAAGGACTCCATCCTGGTTTTGGTACAGTGTTACTGATTGGTGCAAAGAACATTTGCTTTTTTTGTCTTCTAAGGTATTCATAATCTTAGGTTTTCTCATTGCTGTGTTAGAGACTCTTGACTGTTACCTTCTTGTTGAGCATTCCTGGTATATGTTCTTAGTGCAACCAGTACAGTTCAGGTCTGCTTAGAAAATGACTGAGGAACAAGATGATGAAGAACAGTATTGTAAGAGTCCTCATTCCTATCCCGGCCAAAAGAAACAGCACCTTTCATCAGTTAATCAAGTCTTGGATCTACTTCCAGTTTAGATCTCCTCCTACAATTACTACATCATCACTCCATATCAGCTAGTTCAGCTATCTCTTCCCCTCTCTCCTCCTCCTCTTCTTCCTCCTCATTCTTCTCGTCCAGGATTTCCCTCTTCCCTCACCTTGCTTCTGGGAGCAGAAGTGCTCTGCTGAAAGCCATCATCTATTTCTGCTCAGCAGACTGCTGGTGTTCAGGCTGCGATCATGCTGGGCTTGCTTGGCTTGGCTCAGCAGGGCTTCAGCAGACTGCATTAGGGCATAGGAACAATAGGAATGTGCCTAGGGCCTTGTCTGCCCAAACTGTGCCATTAGCTAACTGTTTGCTTCAGAAAACTGTTTCAAGCTCTCCTGGTTACAAAAACAGGCTTGGAAATGTGAGCAACAGCACTCATGATTTGTGCCAAACAAGAAATTGTCTGACCTCAGGAACTGCCACAGTGGTTTAAACCTGATGCTGCAGGAAGGAGTGCGCTGTCTCTCAGGTGGGGCAGCAGTAGCTGGTAGATGCTACAGGTTCGGTTCTTTGATGGGACTCCAATAACTCCTCTCAGTACTCCAGCCTCTTAGGCTCTGCTGGTCATAGTAAGGGCTGAAAGTCATGGTACTTCATCCATCCTCCTAGCACATGCCTGTGGTGGTAGGATAGGACTACTTCCCAGATAAACTGTGCAGATATGAACAGGGAGCTCACCTTTCCCTTGCAAGGAGTGAACTGGCTCTCAATGTTGACCCATCCCTAATCATGTTTAAACAACTGAATAACAATTTTGTCCCCAACAATTCTGGATCTTTACAAGTGCCATCTGATTCTATGTATTCTTCCTTCCGCTGTGTTAAGGTTTCTATTATTTTCTATAAAGAGCTTGAACAAAAAATGCCAGGGTACTGATGACCATTACCTCTCCCAGTTTAGTCCCTCATCCCCTATCGCCACAGAACTGAATTCTCTGTATGCTCTCTTAGCTGCAGGCATAAGCTAACTTCAGCCTGTTATCAGAAGCCCATCAGCTTTCCTGCTTTTCATCTACCAGTTTCTCAGTAGCTAGTGTGGTTGAGATGATAGGCCGTAAGGTTACAGGCTGAACAACTTCAACTGTTCCCCATGGATTTTCCACAGTTCCACTCTACACACAGGGACAAATGCATTGTTTTCCCAAAAGTTTTTTGAAGAAAAGAGCACTGGGAAATGCTGAGGAAGTCCTAGCAGCACTTGTGGGTGAGTGCAATATGCTGAAAAGAAATGAAGGGGCTGTAGTTTTGCAGCCTTGGTAAGTAAATAACAGCTTCAAGGGCTGCAGAGCACAGAGCTTGCTGCCTTGGCCCTAGTTTGAAAATACTTGGCTTATCCTTGTACTTCTGCAGCTCTGTCCTGCTCCTTCTCCTTAAATGTATAGCCAAGCCAGAGAGCAGAGTATTTTGAATCAGAAAAGATTTCAAATTTAAAAACCTTTTTTAATGCCCACGAATTCTGTGCTCAGAACAGAAATCTGTGTCACACATACCATAGGAATGTCATAACTATTGTGTCTGTCTCTATGGAAGCCTCGGGCAGAATAATCATTGACTTTCCAGCTTCTCTTTCAGACTTTGCATGCAATACATTCATTCACAATTTTATTAATATACTGTATGTAAAGTATGAATTGCACCAGTTCATTGATTAATCCCTAGTTAGAAAGGTAAGAGGTTTAAATGGCAACTTCTGGGACTTACTGCTGACAAAGACAACACCCCTAGAGCCAGGTCAGGGTTAAAGAATCATGTAACCATTAGTGAAGTCCTAGCCGGTTATTTCTTTTTATTGCTAGCTCCTATTTTTTTCCCTGTAAAGCATCATAATAAAGTTCTTAAACTGTTACAGGGAGGTGTGTTTTGAGTAAATCAATACATAAAAAATACAGATTAAAGCATTAGAAGATCCAAGGTTATTTCTAGGAAAGAAGAGAACTTCAGGATATGAGCAGATAATGAACCGGAGCACTCTGTTAAGTGCTGTTAGTACCACTGTATAGGTGGAGAAACTAGGGCATACTGAGCTTAAATGGTGTTTATATTGGAGCAGAGAGTAGTTAGTGCTCTGTGTTCTTTGTGTCCTCATTAGGAAGATGGTCTGCTGCCTTTGCTCTGTGAATTTGTTGTTTGAGTTTCCACTAAGGCTTTATTTAAAGGAAAGGATGAAAAGATTTAAAGCTTGTGTCAGCACATATTGTAAAGACCAGGAAAATACAGTACTACTGAGTTGGTCTGGGGTTTAACTTAGCATACAGTTCAAGCGTGGATTTTTGCCTTGAGTCTGGTCCTCCATTAGGCAAAATTTTAAAATGAATGGGGGCAAAAATCTAGCCTTTGAGCATATAGTGTAGAGGGAATCACAAAATGCCTCCTTGGTAAATGCTTCTCAGTACAAAAAAATACGAATTTGGTGTATTAAGTATGGTTTTGCACTTACATTCATCATGTGATGCATGTAGCTTAACCCAGCACAGTGGCTTGGCATGTGCTTTATCTTCATGGGCACAGCTCACAGTTTCATTTTCACAAAATGTCTGTTGGTACCTAAACCTCAGAATGGAACAAACTGTCATTCAAATTAAAGCCTGTTGCCTTACTGTATTGTCATTTTGCCTCTCGGCGTCCTTTCCCCATCTGTAAACCAGAAAAAATGCTAGTGAATAGTCTTAAGTATTGGCATCTTGGTAAAAACCTGATGTAAATTTCTATATGTGTGTTAGAGAAAAGTGAATGTATAGTGAGTATGTAATGTGGTGTTAATACATTTGGCATAGACAGGGTTATTTTCAGACTCTGCATGAGTTATATATATCTTGATGGGTTAAGTAGGTGGTGCTGGGAAAATTATTGTGATTTTAGTAAAGTAAGTCTCATTGTGTTAAAAATAAATTTACTTAAAGTATTATGGCATTTCAGTACAAAAATACCTGAAATGGGTTAGTGCATGAACTCCACCTGACCTAAGTATTGAAAATCACGTTTGATTACTGGTATATAGAGTCATATTAGTCTGGTTGGGTATTTTTTACGTATCTCAAAAATTCAACAGTTTGGGACTCGGCATTTTCTATTGAGGTGTTCCTGGCCTGGACTGTTGGTCTTCTTGTTGCTCAGAAGAGCAGTGCATGGTTGGGAAAATCTGATCAGTTCAGCAAGGGGGGAACACTTAATATCTGTGCTATATGTATATTTTAATTTTTTTTTTATTTTTTTTGCTCAGCTGGAAATAAATGCCAAAATTATAACCTAAAAGGGGAGCGGGAGAGGAAGTTAAAGGATGTTTAGATTGCAACAGATTGCAGTTTTACATAAGCTAGGTAACACCTGTAGAAAATGCTTTTACCTGTGATCTTTTTCTAGGTCAGTCTTGCAGAAAAACCTTACCAGACATCTCCCACCACCACACTTTAAAGTTTTCATATAACAAAGTAATTTCCTCCCTTTCCATCAAGTTGTTATTTCTCTGCTTCCCTAAAGCAATTTATTGTGAACATGTCCTGGCAGAAAACCAGCAATTTAATGTAACTACCCAGAAAGAGGGGTTTATGGGTGCTGCTCAGCTAGTGATGTTTTTTAGTTTTAATTTAGATTTGGTAGCCTTCTCTATTGCTTTTCTAACCT